TAGCCACAACCACAACAAACAGCAGTTATCCCTGTTCTCACAAGTCACAGGAGGCACAAGGACCGGCCGAGCACCCAGTCAGACCGCCTTCCAGGACTGGCAGCGATAAGCCTCTAGTAACCCACAGAAAGCCCAGCTAATAGTGGGGCTGGCAAGAGAAAGCCTGCCTCAGTTTGCAAAGAGGGGAGGGCGTGTCAGTTGGAGATATCAAAGAAGGTGTGGTCAGGGGGGTGGAACACTTCCAGACTCTTCTTAGAAGAAACAAGATGGCAAAATCTGCCCCTGGCGGTGTGGGGGTGGATCTTCTCTCTGCCTGGAGCCCCCTCTTCCACCGCCCACCCACTCCCCAAGGACAGCTCCGACTCCCAGCAGGGGCAGGACTCTTGAAGGCTTGGAGTTCCTGCCAGTCTACACAGAGCCTTCCTGAGGATGAACCCAGGGGCTCCCTCAGGTGGAGGCTCCTGGATGACTGAGAGAACAGCCTTGGACACTTAGCCTGCTGCATGCAGTTTGCCAAGTGGGCGGGGCTGCGTTTTAACTCCAATTCGACCCCTGGACCAAACTTCCTGGTAGAGTGCACAAACTGGATCACTGCTTGGCTGTGCTGGGAGGCTGGGAGGTCTGGGAGGCTGGAAAGGCGCTGACCTACCCAGTGCAGGGGGTGCAGCCAGGGGCCGTGTCCGAGGTGGCCCTACAGCACAGCCAGTGGCCGTTGAGGTAGGCGGAGGGGTGGTAGACGGTGAGGCGCTTCTTGTTGCACTGGCTCACTTTGGTGAGGATGTCGATCCAGGCCTTGGCCTCCACACAGTTGTTGGCCTGGATGTACAGCGCTCGCTCAGGCTGGATGACCTGGAACATCTGAGGAGACAGAGAATGAGCTCAAGGGGGCCGCCCAGCAAACAAGAGCTCCTGCCTGAGCCACAGGGTCATTTCTTTGAGAGTATAAGCCCAGGGCTACAGTGGGAGGGTCTGGAGTTATCCAGAGGCTCGGACAAGCTCAGGGGTGTCAGGAGTCTCCATTCGAAAAGCAAAGGAGTAGCACTGCTTGTCTCCCCCACAGGACCTCCTGGAGCTGACTGCAGCCGTTGCACAAATGGGTTGGTTTCTTTGGGTCCCCTTAGTTTTTAAGCTGGGATAGGCTTCTATGCAAGGTACATCAGAGCTTGCCCTGCCCACCTCATCTCTAGATCTGCCTCATGGCCTTTGCATGTGCTGTTGTCTCCATCTGACAGGTCCCCTCCTTCCCCACTGATCACCCTGGGGACTCGTCCTCCTCATTCTAGGCAGGTTTACTTCTTTCATGAGGCTTTGAGATGGCACTGCCTTTCCTATTTATTATTCATTCAACAAACATTCCCGAGTACCAGGTACTATTCTAGGTCCTGGGGACACAGCGTGGCCCAAAAAGAGTTTCTGCCTTCATGAGCTTCCAGCCAGCAAGAAAGATAAAGTGAAAACAAAGTGCAGGGGGCTGATTGAGGATGAAGCCTAATGGGGGGGTCAGTATAGAACCCTCTAAATAAATGATCCTCCAGCTGAGATCACAGAGTGACTAAGAGTTAATTAAGCTGAGCGAAGAAAGCAAGGACAGGAAGTGCCCAAGCAGCAGGGACAGTAGACACAGAGGTCCTGGGGCCGCAGGGACAGTATATGCAAAGTCTCTAGGACATTAGGGAGGGTCAGGTGCTCCCCACAGGAGCAAGCCAGCTGCACAAAAGAGGGAGTGAGCGAGAAGGTAGGCAGGCAGAGTCCTGGGAGGCTCTCGGGCTGGATGTGTCAGAGGCATGAGGGGAGTCCAGCAGTCAGGATGTCAGAGAAAGATGATTGTGGCCTTTTCCAAAGGCACAGAAAGGACGAAGGAACAGGAGTTGATGGATTCTGGGAAAAGGAATTGTGAGTCCAATTTCCTGAGTGAACAGCCAGGGTTCATTTCCAGAGACCGAAGTCCCCCTGTCCCACCTGGCACACACAAGCAGTGCTGCCCAGGCCTCAAAGTGTACAAATCCGTGTGTGGCTTCAGTCCCCAGTGGAGGGAGAACCCCTAGAAGGAGGTATCTCATCCTGACTGTCCTCACAGGCTGACCCCTCCAACAGGGCTCGGCACACAGCAAGCCTTCAAAAATGTCTCCCAAATGGAACAGCCATAATCCTAGTAGCCAGCGTCCGGGAAGCTGGCTCTGAGAAAGGCAGCAGGAAGAAAAGAGGCCGATGAATAAACAATGCTAAAATTAGGGAATTATGCTAAACCTAAATTAAGGGGCTGACAGAACGAAACAGATCACAGCTGTTTCCAGGACATATTCCGCACTTGCGTCCTTCCGTGGACGTCTGGGAATGCCGCCGGCTGAGGCACAACGTTTCCAGCCTCTATCCTGGAGAGGATGAGGTGCAGACATGCTACAGAATACTGCCCGCAAAGGAGGTGGCCTCCTGGAGCAGGCACGATGGCGTTAACGTCCCTCAGGTCCGGGAAAAACCCCGCATCTTCCATGGGGCCATCTGCCTGCCAAAGAAGTGGCCTCAAATAGCCCTGGGAGAAGGACGAGGAACTGAGTTAAGACAGGGCAGGATGAGCAGGAGCTGCTGCCTGCTGACCAAGCACAGGATGGAGCCACCTGGGTCCAGCAAACACCACCCACTTCGGGCCTCCGGGCGGATCTCAGACCAGGTGGAAATGAGAACTCCTCGTGCCTCTTCAACCCCGGCCCAGCCAAAACAGAACCACAGCATCCCCCACAGACCTAGTGTGGCCTTAGACACCTAATGAATACCAGACCATCAAGCTGTGTCAATGAACAATTTGTGGACAGACACAGGAGAGGGAAGGGGACAGACCGGAGCCCCTGCCAGCTCCCAGGAGGCAGAGCCTGACTCAGGGTCCCATTCTATAAACCGTAAACTTGACATGTTGCTGAGCCTGCTGAGTGAGGAAACGACGCTCGATGCAGAGAGGCAGAGTGTCCAACGGGCCGTACTGCTATGTGCTACCGGGCCGCCCTCCCAGGGCAGTGGGACTCCAGCTCCTGAATAAGACGGGGCCCTGGGAGTCCTCACAGTCCCAACAAACAGACGAATAAGCTGTTTGCTGAATAATTCTCCATGGGGGAGAGGAGAAAGCCGTGCATGGTAGGAAGCCAAGAAAAGCAGCGAGGGAATAAGGGAGCCAAAAAGGCATCACGGACGGGGGAGAATTTGAGAAGGAACAGGATACTGACACAATTCAGGGCATCTCTTCACGAATCACTGATTAACTAGGAGCCGGGCCTCCCGACATGATGCACCCAGAGGACACAAGGCACCTCTGGGGTTCCTGACAAAAACGCATCACCCAAAACCTACCTGGCTGACCACCTGACACACCCAAATTGAGGTCTGCCCACAAAAACTGGCCTGTATGCTTCAAAAATGCCAAGGCCACAGAACAGGGGAAAAGGCTGAGGAACGTTCCAGATTAAGGAGACAACAGAGAACTAAATGGGCCATGTGACCCTGCATTCGTGCTAGCCTGGGGGAAAAAACGTTATAAAGAAGGGTTACTGGGACAACTGGCGAAATTTAAATATGAACTGTGGATTAGGGTCACATCAGTGTTGGGTGTCCTACTTTTGGTAACTACACAGGGTTATATAAAAGAAGGCCCTTGTTTATAAGCAACACACTGAAGTATTCATATGGTTCAAAAAAGATATGTACATCATACATGGAGAAAGGTGAGGAGGGAGAATGAAGGACCATGCTCAGTAAATGGGACAAAACCAGGGATGGATTCTGGATCAGGGAACATGGGAGGTCCTTGTTTTGTTCTTGTAACTTTTCTGTAACTTCAAAATTCTATCAAAGTAAAAGTTTCAAAGAAATTCTGCATGGTCCCAGAGCCTGTCTGTCCCTGGACCTCTGGAGTAGCCAGAGAAGCCACCTTCCGTCAGGCTCTGCTCACCCCGGCCGACCCAGGCAGGGACAGCCAGGCTGCTGCTCTCTGCCCTGTGTTTCAATGAGAAATCACGCAGTGTCTTGTGAACAGCAGGCAACGTGTGCCCTGAGAGGAGAAGCAGGGAAGGTAGGAAGGTAGCAGGAGCGGAGGGAGAGCTAGCCTCCTGGAGATGGTACACTCACGTTCTTCATCTTGAAGGATTCCTCCTCCAGTTTCTCCACTGCCAGAATGTTCTCAATGGGAATGCTGTAGAGAGGCTGGTCTCCTGCGGCAGAGAGGGGTTAGTGAGCAGACGGGCCCAGAGGTCAATGCCAGGTCGGGAGGAGGTGTTCAGGTCTCCTCTCCTTAGGTAAGATGGTTAAGAAACAGAGACCACGGGCATGAGTGGGCCAAGGGGCAATGGTCAGAGAAGGCCTGGGGAAGAGTCCTTTGTGTCCACAGAACACCTGAATGTCACGCACTCATTCCCAATGACATCCAATACCTGCCTCCATCACGACACCAAAGCCTCTCACATACTGCCTCCAGGAACCATGTTCCCACATTTATATGGGGAGAAATTACATTCTCACCATTCCATGATATAGATCTGAGCCATTTCAGGTCCAGGAGAACATAGCCAAAATAGGAGAAGACTATTACGTCCGGTGAGCCCCTAATTCCTGCACTAGATGGTACGGGACCTGCCTGCCACCCTGCACCCGCCACCCAGGCCACCCTTGTGGATGTCACCCCCGCTCTCCTGTTTGAAGAAACTGCTCACTCTGAGGGACACACTTTCTCTGCCTTGTTTCACCCTGAAGAATATAGGGATGTGAAAACAAAGAAAAAGTGAACTTGTCTTGTTACCTTTGCTTTTCTGGTAGGTAAATTCATGGTTTGTCAGGCGGAACCATCTTTTCTTAAAATTCTTCATTCCAAAGCGCTTTCGTCCTTGTGCCCTCTTAATCATGAACCTATTGTGAATAGATATTTGGCGGGTGAATGTCCCATGGCTCAGGGGCTCATCCCACATCACCCTACCCATCCTGCAGCCTAAAGTCATATCTGCAAATCAAAATAACTCGCCATTTTTATATTTGTGATACCTGATGCAGACTGTAGATTTTCAATCTTATCATTTTATTTCCAAGCAAAAGGATTAAAAAATCAAAAGCCAGTGTCTCTACTTTAGAAGTTTAGCCCCTGGGCTGGTATTAACTTTAAATTACAAGTTGGCGATGACAGTGGGTTTATCAGACCTCCAACAGAGCAGCCCTATCTCCCACATTGAAAATATCGATAAGAAATGCTCATAGAGCCATGTAGGTGTGTTCTGGAAAGCAGAGACCAGCGATGTGAAAGAAACACCTATTCTCTGGTAGGTACTATGCTTCAGTGCCTCCTGACAGAAGACGTTTCAGGAGTGAGGGGCTAATGGAGGGGATGGTGAGGCCTTGAACTTAGGCGTGAATGAGCCAACAACTGTGCAGAAATGCTTGATAGTAAGGGTTCGTTCAATTTCCTCACCCCCTTTCCTCCCCTTGACAGGCATCTCTCCGCTCCACAAATTCAGCAGAGGATAGGCACAGAGAAACAAAAGTAAGCAATGCCATGTTTAGTCATGATCTGGGTCAGTCTTGAGAAGCTTAAAAGTGATGGACAAAGGCCATGCTTCTCCCAGGTCTCTCCAGCCCCCAAAGGGTCTGGGCTGCCTCTGACCTAGGAGACCACTGGTGCCCCAGGCAGAGATGTCCCATTTCATGGCTGAGGCAGACTGGGAATGACAACCCACTGCGTTTCTTCCCACCTTCCTCAGCGGCACTCACTGGCCTTACCCTTCCTTAAGCAGGATGGGCTGCTCCACGCTCTTGGGGTCTCTTCTCCCAGAGGATGAGATCAAATCTAAGAACTGAGGTGACAAAGAAACCAGACTGTTAAAAGGGTAAGTGGCACACCTGAATACATTCGTTCTTACATGTAAATGATTCTATAGGATACTTTGTGTCCCTTTCTGACACTAGAGAAGAGAGAAGAATCTAGGAAGCAGGTGCCAGGGCAGTGGGTTCTTATTTGAGAATTGTAGGGATCCTGCTCTGGTTTCCACTGTGGCTGAGAAGCTTCCAGGCCCCACTCTGACCCTGGAGGGCCACTGCATTTTAACAGGTGACCCAGAGAATGCATCTCTCAAGGAACTGGAAGTAGCACCAGCTCTCCTCCCTGCCGCCCTTATCTCCCAAGAGCCCTCCCCCTGTGGTTTTGCCAGGGGCGGGGTGGGGGGCCTTCCTGCTCAATTCAACTGCCCCACGGCCTGTCTGGATTCCTTCCTTCAATCGATGGCTACCCCCAGCTCCTTTCCCTTCCTTCACTTCTAGTCAGGGTTTATATGATTTCTGAGCAATAAACATGTGTGACTGATTCTAAACAGAAGGAAAAAGTAGAGTTTTAGGATCCAGAAGAGTTTCTCCCCAAGCACTATGCCCCTAACTCTGGGTCCGGGGTTGTAGGGTTCCACGACGGTGAGGCATTCGGTGGCGGTGGGGTGGGCTCCAGGAATAGACAGCCAGAACAGGGCAGGATATGAGAATTTGTGGAACAAATGGGGTGATATTCTATGAAGGTATAATGTGAAGTCTCTTAGAAAGAATTCAGACATAAAAAGTGAAGAATGAGCACCTCCAACTGTCAGGTCTCAAAGAGGAGTGTGGCGCAGGAGGAATTTACAGCAGCTCTTGGGGTGAAGAGGGTCCTGGCATGTGGTTGCGGGGTGGGGGCGGGGAGGAGTGAGTGTTGGTCGAACTATACTGGGAATGAACCAAATGCTCTGAACTGTTTAAAGTGGCTAATGGTCAATTTTATGTTTCATAAAGCTTAACTCATTTTTTTTTTAAAAAAAAGCAACTCTGTTTCTTAGGAACAAAAGATAATATATGGCAGTAAGTCTATGTTAATAATTGATGTCAATACTCACATTTTTTACTGCATCAGCATATTTCTGCTCATTGAAGAATTCGTAAAATGCAGCCATGTAGGATTCTTTAAAACTGGCCTGAAACAAAACAGGTCACTTAACGAAGGTCTGAAAAATCTGAAAAATCTAGAGGCACGGATTATGATGAACCTCTTTTATAGTAAGATGACGAGTATCGCTGGGTAACTGTACAGGTTATAAGTGATGCCCCAGAACTTTAGCCCAGGCACAGTGGACCTTAAATCACAGAAGCATGCTAAAACGATCAGAGATAAATTCCACTTGAGCTGTGTTTTTAAAAGCTAACTATATGAGGTGTGTCGGAGGAGTCTTCAGTGAGTTGTTTTTTACAAGTGACTCAATACCCTTCCTTGTGTGGTCACTCACATCTGGGTTCCAGGTCCACGAAGTTGTTACTGCACCCAGATGTGGTCGCTGGGATGGAGCCTCGTCAGTGAGCTGGGTGGTAGGGACGGGAGGGAGCGGGAATGGGGGCCAAGCACAGGAATTAAGGGAGGGGCCTTCAAAGCAACCATCCCTAATGCCCCACCCCATTTAGCACTGTGTTCATATTTAAGTCACTTCGCTATTTCTGGATGTGAAAATGAAGTGGGTTTTGTGCAGACCTCACACCCGGCAAGTGCCTATCTTTCTGAACTTCCAGCCAACAAAAACTGGGGTTGACTAGTGGAGAAAAGTATTTAGTGCACTTTAGCCTGCCTGTTAGTGACCGCACATCTTTCCTTTTACTCTGATCCAAAGAAAGCCAAGCAAACTAACAGCTCCACAAAGAACAGAATGAGGATGGCTGGAGCGGGGGCTTCCATGGGTTGCTGCTCAACCCTTTCCAGATAGAAGGGGAGGCCATACCCAAGTTGGCCTGTCTACTGTCGGAGCCAACCTTGAACTCCACCGCCAAGAAGCAAGCCACCTCAGTCTGCACATCACTATCTGTGCATGTTGCCTCCCAACATCCTCAGAACTGCTGGTGATGAGACACTTTCTTGAGGCCTCAGGCCCTGGGGCAGACCCTTGGGGTGCACTCAGCACCAACATCCAGTATGAAGTGAGTGACAATGAAGGAGACACACAGATTTATCACCGAAAGGAATGAAATGAATACAGAGCCCCAGGAAGGAAAGGGGCGTGCTGCTGTCTGCAAGGGGATGAGCCCTCTGGCCGTCTAGCAGCAACTCGACCTTCCTAAGATTCGGATGTCCTCAGATGCTCAAGGTCGAGGCCGCTGCCAGCTCATGGCAATAGGACTGGACCACCTGTGGCAGCGGAGCTGAGGAGGCTCAGTCTCTGAATCTGCACACGGGAGTGGATGTGTTAGCTACGCTACAGGTGATGATAATGTACCATGTGCCATCCTAATTTTTCTCTAAAAGAGCAAAGTTTCACAACTCAGAGGGGGCAAAGGGGCACTTGGAAAGTGCTGGAATGTTCTATCTCCTAAGCTTGTTGGCGGGGATGACTAGCTGGTTTTACTGTTCTTTTTTTGACTCATTTAAAAATTTTTTTCAATTACAGTTGACATTTATATATTGTATGTATAGCATAGTGGTTAGACATTTATATAACTTATGAAGTGATCCCTCTAACAAATCTAGTACCCACCTGGCACCATACAGTTATTACAATGTTATTGACTATATTCCCTAGGCTGTACTTTACATCCCTGTGATTATTCTGTAACTCCCAATGTGTACTTCTTAATCCTTTCACCTTTTTCACCCAGCCCTCAAACCCCCTCCCATCTGGCAATCATCAGTCTGTTCTCTATATCTAAGTTTGTTTCTGTTTTGATTATTCATTTATTTTGTTTTCTAGATTTTACATATAAGGGAAATCATATGGTATTTCTTTTTCTTTGTCTGACTCATTTCTCTTAGCATAATACTCTCTAGGTCCATCCATGTTGTTGCAAATGGTAAGATTGCATTCTTTTTTATGGCTAAGTAATATTCTCTCTCTATATTTCACATCTTCTTTATACAATATCTATCAATAGACACTTAGGTTGCTTCCATATCTTGGGTATTGTATATGAAACGTCTTTGTCTCTTGTTATAGCCTTTGTTTTAAAGTCTATTTTGTCTGATGTAAGTATTGCTATCTCAGCTTTTTTTTTTCATCTCTACTTGCATGAAATATCTTTTTTTATCCCTTTACTTTCAGTCTGTGTGTCTTTCAATCTGAAGTGAGTCTCTTGTATGCAACACATGTTAGGGTCTTGTTTTCTTCTCCATTCAGCCATCCTATGTCTTTTGATTGGAGCATCTAATCCACTTACATTTAAAGTAATTATTGATAGGTATGTAGCTATTGTCATTCTATTATTCATATTTTTTATCTTTTTTCTTCTTCTTCTTAAAGAAGTCCCTTTAACATTTCTTGTAATACTGGTTTGGTGGTGATGAACCTTATTCTTTATTGTTCTTTACCGTTAAAACTACATGAAAAATACACTCCTTTATGTCCAAAAGAGAAGACAATTAAAATAAACAACTTACAGACTTTGACTTGGATAAGCTGCCAAGAGTTTGAATAGTCTTTGAGATAAGTGTCAGCGTCCTAGAAGTCTGTGGGTCCTGTCAGACGGGAAAGAGAAACATGTTTTGTTTACATTTTTTACTTTGTTGTGATTGAGCCGAGAATTACACAGCCAACGAAATGAATGACATCACCTAAAAGCTTCACAGCACAAGCATGCTGTTTGCTAGTAAACAATAAACACGCAAACACTGGATTTGGAAAAGTTCATTTAGATTCTTCTATTCCATGTGGTCTGGGAGTTGCTAAAAATGCAGGCTCTCAGGTCAGTCCAGATCCCAGACCCCAGACCCCAGCATCTTCACAAGGTGCCAGTGGCTCCTTAAGTAGCAATGTGTGAAAAGCTGCTGGAAATCAGTGCTCTGGACTCAACACACGGAAGGAGCATTGTCAACTTAGCATCCTTGCTTGGTTACTGTCCCCAGTTTTGCATCTCCCAGGTGACCTGTCCTACCTTTACATGGTTTGGAGAGCTAATTGAAAACCAACAAAAACAGGAACAGGCCCATCACCCTTGAATCCCCTCACCCTGGGTTTTCCACAAAGCACAGTGCCCACCTCGCCCTTTTTCTGCTTATGCGTCACTAACATTAGCTCCATGAAAGCTCGGGGCCTGGTACGTAGTGAGTGTTCAATAAATATTTGTTCATTAGTTAAATGACTGAATATATGACAGATCATAAATATTCCCATTTTTTCCATGGTGGGAGAGAGAACATAATAGCAGCTAGTTGGTAAAATCCTGGTCTTTAATGGCATAACTTATATAGAAAAGTGGCTAAACCTTCTTATAGACAAAGTTACAGGCACGTGGCATGTTCACAATTTGATTACCATGCAACAGCTTCTTCTCCCACCTCCACATACCTCGCAAAGAGACCCTGGCCCAAGTTCCATGTCACTTGCTGGTGCAGGAAGACTGGCTGGTACAGGAGGACTAGTCTACCAATTTACAAAGGCTGATGCTCACTTACCGTGTGGTGAGGCGTGAGCTGGAAGAGGTTGGGAGACAGGATGGCAGGAGCGAAGAATCTCAAGAAAATGAAGCTACTCACAGCCGTGTACCTCACATCCAGGTCATCTGTGGCCAGGACAAAGAGAGAGCCAACTCAACGGGGCTCTCTGGAGATGACAGCAGTGGACCTGGGGAGGGAGTCTCTAACCCAGAGCCTTGCTCTTCCCGAGGGCCTCCTGGAGGCGGAGATGCTGGCTCGAAGCTCTCTCTTTGGCCCTACTCTCTTTCTCTCTCTCTCTCCTTCCCTCCTTCTCTCCATCTCTCTCTCTCT